GAGTGGTACTAAGCTGTTTTTGAAGTTTTTTATGCAGTTTTCTACCCTGCCAATACTGAGCCTCCTAACTAACCTGTTCACAGCTTCAGGCTTAGTGTGGGCCCACAGCCGGCACAGGTGTTCCTGGTGCTGTAGTAGCATTCCTGCTGGCTTCCACTGTGGTCTCTGTGGCCTGGGTCACAACACCAGAGTGTTCTGTAGAAAAGCTCCAGCGCTGATTGCGGGCCCTTTCATGGCAGTTTTGGGACAAACAGGCTCATGCCTTCTATTTGTAGTAGCTATGGAAACGGTAGAAGCGCTCTCTCTTCGGAGCTAAGCATACAATAAAGGACTTCAAGTGTTGGTAGGATTAGAGACTTTAGAAGATGTTGAATTTTCTCCCCCATTCTTTTCTTGTTCCCTGTCCCTTTACAGCGGGAACAAGAGGGCAATGTGAATATTAACTGGGACTTGTTTTAATCTCCCTTGTGACACTTAAAGACTGTCTAGGTCTACACCATCTACTCAGGCTCCAGCCTTTCACTGCTCGCTAACAAGGAGACTGCATATTCATGACCCATGGCTACAGATCAGACAGCTCTCAAGATTGTGTTTTACAGTGTTTCTCTTTCCTGGTTCAATCTCCTGAAAGGGTACTTTCATTTTGTCATCTGTGAATACTGAGTTACGGTCAGATAGGAATAAGAAGTTCGGGTGCCATTGAACAGTAGGGTGACTAATTAACAGTAGTGCACCTTTAATTTCAGGATGTTGGGAGAAATGATGTTGATTCTTTTCACTATAAAGAAATGGTGATGTTGGTGCTAACAACATTGCTTAGTGAGTAAAGGTGCTTGCAAGCGTGGCAACCTGAGTTTGATCCCAGAACCCACACGGAGGAAACCAAGTCCACAGAGCATGGACACCCTGGCAGTACTAACCGCCACTGTGGTCTCTGTGGCCTGGGTCTCAACACCTGGAAAAAAAAAGACCCAGTTCTGACTTCCACGTGTGCACCCCATGTGTACATGCATGTGTACCCGTGCGCACACACAAATAAAAGGGGGGAAAGAGAGCCAACAGGGTGGCTCATTGAAGGGAAAGGCACTTGTTCTGCAAGTCTGGCAACCTTAGTTCAAGCCCCAGAACCTATGTACAGGTGTATGGAGAAAATGTCCTGTCCCCTACACGCATGGCAGGCACACCCCATAAGCTCTGCATAAGCACTCTAATAATAGGTAAACTAACAGTAAAAGAAAAAATATTGGATGATATAGGTATGTTTGCCCTGATCTGAACACTACAGTGTATGAGAAGTTCTTGTGTAATCTGAAGCCCTGGATAGCAGTGCCCAGGCGTTCTCATTCGAACAGAAACAGTGCAGGGGACCCTTAGGCAGCGTTTGTTCTGTTGATGGACAGTGTGCCTCAGCTGCTGGTGCTCACTTGGAGGAAGGAGGCTTTCTCCTTGTCCACTGAGAACATGTGCAGGACTCAGCTTCATGGACTCCTAGGAAAGCTGATTGATGTCACTGTTAACATGAAAAAATGTTAACTACATAGTTAAATGACATGTGCTGCTGTTGGTAATCCATCATATATTTCTGATTCCCAGGTGCCTCAGGTGTTGGTTCCAGTATCTTCTTGTGACTAGAGTTCTCTCCAACCCTTCTACTGCTTTCACTTCCACATCTTGACACTCTCACTGCCAATTTTAGAAAAGACAAGAATGCCTTTGCTGCTTGGCCCTCAAGACTTCTTCTCTTAGGTTGTTGGTTCCATTATGTTTTGTCCTGGAAAAGTATGCCTGAAGGCCCAGCTGTGGCCCTGCATCTTCTGTAGGGTTCTTGTCATACCCATTCATCTACAAAGCTGTCTTTTCTTCGTACAGACAGTAGCCATCACACCAGGTTGTTTTGTTTTTGTTTGTTTGTTTTTTCTACACAAATTAGCTTCTAAACCCTTGGGAGTTAGTTGATGATAAATTATCATGCTCACAGTGTTCCTAGCCCTGCCCATGCGAGTTGAATGTGTTTGAAGTCACCTTTCCATGGAATTCTGCCGGTGTTTGGTTGTCTTGGCCCTTTTGTTTACACAGTGTATCCTTGCCCGGCTTGTGTTTCTGTTGGGTTTGCTATCCTGGAATTTTAGACCTACAAAGCCATGACTCAGGAAACCACTGAGAAGTGGGGAAGAACACTACTGGTGTGGGGGTCATGTCAATGCCATCGTGGCTCTGCCTGCATGCCACTAAAGAGGATGCACTTGCCTCTACACATTCAGCTAGTATTTCCCTGAACTGTGCTAGGACAAAGAATGAAGACAGATGAATAAGATACTGATCATGTTTGAGACGCTCACAGTTACTAGGGTAGACGGAAATACACACAACTAATGGGAGCTTGCATAATCTCAACAAACAAGCATTGATCTATGTCTCTGAGCTGGATGTTGGAGACAGAGAAATGAACTAGGTGTAATGCCTGCCCATGAAGTGCTCATAGTAAGTGAGCTACAGTGTGATGAGAAGTGTTACTAAGAGTGGGTGCCTGTAGCAGCATTAGTTCCCACTGGTATTGGGTAGTCGTGAGGTACCTGAAAGCCTCCCAACAGTATCTGGGACTCAGCTGAGAATGGCTGCTAAAAAGAAAGTTGGGGGGGGGGGGTACTACCAGGCAGAGAATGGGCATAAGAAGACAGGAAGTATGATGTGGCTGAGGTCTAAGACGCAAGAGGTCCCTGACAAGAGCAGTGCAGGGCCATTCACTCTTCCCAGATGACTTGATAACTTGAAGTTTGGGTCATGATATTTTCCTCCAAATAATCTGTGTTTATGACTGGTAGTGACTGTGTAAGTGTCATTACTGAGCCACCCAGCCCTTAGAAAAGTCTCAGCAACCTCAAATCTTTTTGAGTTCACTTATCTTTAAGTTAGTATCCAGAAAGTTCCAGAAAGGAGAAAATGTTTGGCCTCTATTGTTTGCAACTACCTGTGAGCCAGCCACACCTCCTGTCTTTCACATTGTCTTTCTGAGTTTATGCCTCAAATGTTTGCTTCTTTAGTCACTTCTCATAATTGCTGCTTCCTGTTTTCTATAAAAAGTGAAAAAATGAGTTTGTATAATGATAGTGTCAACTTAGGTGTAAAAAGAGTCACAGCAAATAATTTGCCCAGAAATTACTTCATGTGTTGGAAGTGTCTGGCACCTGAAAATGTTATTTTTATATTTTATGTGATGGCAAGTGTGGAGACTCACCAACCATGGAAAGGGGAAAAATGCAAATTGGGGTTTTATTTCAGTATTTGTCTGGATTCAGCTTTCAGAAAAGAAGCAGAGCCTTATAAAGGAGCTGGGCCTTGTCATGACGGATGGCAGACAGATTTTCAGGTGAAAACAGTCTCCACCAAAGTGGAGATAAGTGCAGACTCAACATCCGCCAGCAAGCACCGCTTCTGTCCTGTGCCTTCGGAAACACTCAGCCATTGATACCCTCAAGTGGTTTCAGTGATAAACCTTCAAAGACCAACAGACCATCCATTCATTCATTCAAGGCTGCTAAGTAGGACTCTGCTCTGTGCCAGGCCCCACAGTCCCACAAACATGAGCCCAGTCTGTGATGAAGGTCTGAGAGAGGCCAGCCAGAAAAAGGATCATGGTTAGGAAGAGGGCCGGCCTGAGGTGGTGTAGAAGGATTTGATAGGGTTATGAACCAGGGTTGGTGCTAGAGACAAGGATGGCACAATTTTTTAAAACCCCACAAATACCCTGCAGTCATTTAGTGCCCTGTTTGTAATGCTTGAGTCCTTTGTAGTGAATGGGTTCAATTTCTTTAAAGTACTACAAAAAGAGCACTGGCTTTATTACTGTAGACAGCTTCTCTTGGATTTCACTTCTGATCAGAAATCTAGGAATGTCTCAGAACCAGTCCTCTTGTCAGAGAAGCCTAGGGCAGGATCAGAAACTTGGTCTCATGCCTTTTAGAGATACATGCACCCCTGCTCTGCCTTTGGAACTGTCTGAGTAAGTGTATCTAATGGCCATCAGGAAAAGGATCCTTCCTTTTTGTGTGTGTGCTGGGGATGTAACACAGTGGTCTAGTGTGCTTGCACAACATAGCATTCATTTGGATCATGGTTTTGATCCCCAGCACACACAGTATTCTGGTACTCTACTGATCATGAACACATAGGCCTATTTCTCTGAAAATGTATTTACATTACAATAGGCTCCTATGGTTCTCCCCACCCCACCCCCCGGACCAAAGTGGAGACACAAACAAAAAGCCTATCCTCAGTGGTCTCTGTCTTACAGGATGCCATATAGTAGCAATTTTCAGTTTTCCTGAGTGTTACCAGAGATGTGATCCTGCGCTTCTGTCATCTTCATTCTGATGTAGGGACACCAAGCAGGGCATTTCATTTGGGAGCCTGGGCATGGGGAGGCAGTGAGGGTCGTGTGCTTTTAGGGCATGAGTGTTTCACACTGGACCTAGCAAATCCTTCACAGCTGAAGCTTTGTCTCTGAAATACTGAATGAGAGAAATTCCATGGTGACTCCTAGGAAACCATTCTTACTGATAACTGCACTTTAAACAGAACTAGTTTCCTGTCTGATTTTTTTCCCACCGCCTCTGACTTGTCTCAGAGCTCCCCTTGTCCTTCCCTAATGACTTGACATCATGTCCAGGAGTGTACACATGTGTACTGCTGTGCTCACAAACCTCAGAATAGCTGCTCTGGGTGTGTGTGTGTGTGTGTGTGTGTGTGTGTGTGTGTGTGTGATCAGACACTCAGTGAGCCATTCTCCGGGGCTGGTTGCTGAATCACGTGCTATACCCACAAGCTCATGTGCACCTTTATAGCTTTTTAAATGGTTTCCTCTTTGAATGCATATTTATATTCTCTCTAACACTCTAGAAAATCCCATCGGTATTCTTGTGCTCCTGCACTTTTTACCTCTCAGTCATGTGAGTTACAAAAATGAGGAAGTGTGTTGTTAAATTCCTTCACTCTGCCTCCAGTTATGACGCAGTGGGTGGTGTATGCTGTCCGAAATCTCACTGAGGACAACAGCCAAAACCAAGATTTCATTGCAAAAATGGAGGAGCAGGGATTGGCAGATGTGTCCCTGCTGAAGAAAATGGGTTTTGAAGTTGAAAAGAATGGGGAGAAACTGATTCTGAAGTCTAAAAAAGACATCCCCCCACCTGTAAGTACCCTCATGTGAACTGTCCTCCAGTCTCTCCCTGAAAGCTGTTCCTGTACCCCTGTGACCTTGGGAGTCAGCAGTCTTTAGAGAAAACATGGAAGGCAGAAGTTGCCCCATGACGTGGTTACCAGACAGCACTAAATAGCGCTACAAAGAACTTTTTGATCAGGCTTTATGATGCCATTGTTTAAAACAACAACTTTATGCAGAGCATGACATACAAAAAATATACTGAAATTTATACATGATATAAGCAAGTTCCTGACCAGAACTAGGCTCTCTTTTAAGTAGCAGAGTTCACTGAAGGTTTGTGTATGTGTGTGTTTTGTTGTTGTTTGTGTGTGCTGTTGCATGTGTCCTTTAAGGAGCTTCCCAGTTCCCCATGACCATGACATAAGCAAAGCTCTGCATTGTCCCTTTGATGCTTTTGTAAATAGATGTGCTGTATCTATGACCCTGTTTCTGTTTTGTTTTGTTTTGTTTTTTTCTCTTTAGTGAATGACCTCTCCATGTGAACATGTTCAGATTCTGTCTCATGGATCTCTCATCTCTACAGTATATGGAATCACAAGTACTGGAAATGTAGAGCACAAATGCGGGAACCTCTCCATCCTTTAGAGTTCAGTGTGTGTAAGCTACAAGTGGACATTTTCTTTATTTCTTTGCAGTAAGTGTAATGTCTGCCTCACCTTTGTCCCTCTGGGGAGAATGAGCTTTCCAGTCATATACGTTGTGCTTACTGTTGTAGTGGATAATAAACACTCTTGAGGGCATAGCCCTTACTTGGCAAAGACTGGGACCCTTGATTGGATTCTCTACATCCTTTCAGATGGCAAGTATGCTTCATCCCTTTGATTCTCTGCTTCTCATTGGATTTCTGAACTCTGGCAGGCACTTGAAGTAAGTTTCTCACTGTGATTAATTCTACCAATCTTTTTTCTCCCCTTCTGCCTTTCCAAAACATTGACATGACTCATTTCCAGTTAATTAATCTGAGAACCCTCCCTCTTCATTTCGCTTACTGTGTTGTCACTGAGCCTTGTCCTTTGGAAGTTAGAAAAGGGTGAGAATGGGTGAGAGAACATGTGGGCACTTAACTGTTTGCATCCCAGGCTGACGTAGAGTTAGGAACTCCGTGGAAAGGCAGATACTTACTTATGTCTTGCCAACATTCATGCCTTTCTGACACAGAAGGGAATGCTTTTTTACTGTTTGATATGCAGTGCCTCTGGTGTGTGAAAGGCACGTCCTATCATCTTCTGCTTAAAAGTGTGGCTGTTACAGAAAGACCACTCACTTTTAGTTTTGTTGCCATAAGTACAAATTTAATTTGGAAGTGCAAATCTAGCTAGCTTTCATTAAATTTTTATACCAGGTAAAACTGGATTATGGAGACACTAGCCACCTGAATCACTAATAAAATTACCATGATCGGGTGGGTCATGTCGCAGGGTGCTTAGCATTATTTTCCTAAACAAGCATGTTCAAAACTAAAATATCCAGAGACATCACATAGTTTGTGTTTATACTTCAAAAATAAAACGAGTAAAGACCCAATCAAAAGCTTCACAAAAATACTATTCCAAAATCGAGACCTTGTAAGTTTCTTCCTGGCCAGAATTACTTTGCTTTGTAAGAACAGCTTGAGCTATTAATGAAATGACAGTTTCCCCATATATAGCTCCCTGTCTGATGGGAGCTGTGCAACTGAAGAAACATCAGGTTCCAGGCCTATGATAGGTAAGATGAATTTGTGATGTTCAGCCATTGCAAAATGTAAAGTACACAAAGAAGCCATTCCCTTCTGGGGCACCAAGAGTTAAAATCCTTTCTCCATAGAGGTCTGGCCAAAGGGGAAACAGTGGGGGTCCCTTTCTCCTTTTAACAAGTTTACAATGGACATTCTCTTTTCCTCTCAATGGGTATGTACACACCAGTGGAGTCACACAAACATGTCGGCATGCACCATATAATAACAAACACAAGTAAATAAAAGGAGCCTTGTGAGAATGCAGAATGGGGTATGGCTGTGTGCTCTAAATAGGAAGTGTGGGTCTCGCAGAGTGAAAACATGCTGATGACTGCATTGTGGCTCCTTTTGATTCCAGGGAGATGAGGGATTGAGCACAACAGCTTCCCTGTGCTCTACCAGTGGGTTTGGGGCTTCCCAGAACCTTGTTTTACACGCTGTAGAGGATTAATTTGCCACCTCAGTCAGTCCTTTGTGGGGGTGGGAAGCAGGGCAGCACCACAGAATTTGTAAAGATACTAAATAGTCACAGTGAGTTTTGTGACCATATTTTTTTCAAGAGCAAATTGACAAAGTTTTGGCTTACTTCATTTTCACAGATGGAAAAGAAAGGATTCTTGGCTTGGTGGCTTTTTTTGTCATACCTAACAACAGAAAAGACTTTAAAACTGTTTTCACAATTTTAGGGCTACCCTGTCGTCATGTGTCTCATGGTTGACTTTGGTATTGTTTAAAAGCAAATGTCAGGGTGCATATCTTGCTCAGCAATGCAGAATCCAACCATATCACTTCAGGAACCATTAGAACACACTCTTGCAAAAGGAGACACAGAAAATGATTAGGGTGTAGGGAAGACTGCTAGTTAGCAAGCTTCAGACCAGATTTCTACCTGTGTCTTAACTCTGTTCTTCTTTGAAGTGATTCGTAACACCACCTGGCGCATATATATATATATATTACTGTCTTTTAATTTCTATCCTAGAACTGAAAAACTTAAAAGATGCCAGCCAGGCATTTTTACAGGAAGAAAACCTGTTTAACCATTATCTCATCATGATAGGTTTTCTATGTATATAATAATAAGCTTTTCTATGTAAGTAAGGCAGGTGTTTAAAAGCACAGAAGCTGAGGAACAATCTTTATATTTAGCATCTCATAGAGTCCTTTGAGGGAGCCAGAAGTCCTCTCGGTGCTGTCCAAGGTTCTGATATCTTCAGCTCCATCGGCCTAGATCCTTGCTTTCCAAGTACAAGGGTCTTTTTCCTATGGCACAATACATGATCTCCTCTCCTTTACACATTTTTGCATGCTTACGTTTAGGTCAACCTATACATCCTATTTTACAACATGAATTTGATTTATTGTCTACAATACATGTGAATTTTTAAGCCAAGCCTTTTCTATACATGTAGAGTGATTCTAATATCACACTGTCACACTTTTCTCATAACCAGAGAAAATCATGAGCATGGCTAGTTTTTTTTTTTTAAGTTTTTGATACTACTTTTTTTTAGATAGGGTCTCAGTATATAACCTGGCTGGCCTAGAACTCGCTATGTAGACTAAACTGGCCTTGAACTCACAGATCCACCTTCAAATGCTGGAATTGAAGGCATGTGTCACCTAATCCAACCCAATTGTATTCTTACTCTAAGTAAAACCTAGTTGTTTTTCTGTTTTAAAAATATAACTTGCATTCTTGGTTTACTCATGCGTGGACAATGCTTACTTTTCATCACTAGAGCAGGAGTTTGGGTCCCTTAGAACATGGATGCAGCATGTGAACTGGGCGCTAGGGTCCCATTTTATCATCAACAAACACCAAAACAGATTTCATAAGCTGTCTGTGATTTTTTTTTTTTCTATTCACTGCAAATCTGGCCCATAGTGCCGCCCACCTCACTTGAGCATATACAGATGAAAACAGGTGATTGTATAAAGTGCTTACTTACAGTAATAAGAAGTTGAGTCAGAGTAGTTAGTAAAATGCCCCAAGGTCACACAGCAGTAGGTGATTAATGACTAATCCCTGTAGTTAATTGGACAAGAATGAGTGAGAAAACCATGTGGCTGCTTTTCCTGGAAGCATGGAAATTTCCTGTGGCAGAACAGGCTGCAGTGTTGCCCAAGACACAGCACAAAGGAAACTCTGTGAGGATTATAGGTTTCACAACTACAAAACCTAAGTCCAGTTCTCAGTTGCACTTGTTGCTAGCTCTGTAGCCTTGAGTAAGGTGCCTAGCCACCTGAGCCTGCATTTCCCCTCAGAATACCAGATGCTCATGATAAAGCAATGAGGAGGACAGTCATGGTCCCCTTGTGAAGCAGCATTCTCTTAGGGCTGAGAGGAGTTCTGCTAACAGGAAAACACAGCATAAAACAAGAATAATACTAATTGTGGGAAGAAAGTGAAGCTGATGATAAGAGGGCACGCTTTCTGACTTTAGTCATATATCCACGGAGGCCAGGGTGCTGCAAAGGAGCTGGCCTCAAAAGAGCTGAAGTAGGTGAGGCAACAAGTGCTGAGGCCTGGGAACTAGATGGCTGCCTTGGATCAAGCACCAAGAGTGGTGCTAGGACCCAGATCCAAAAGGAGACTGGAGTGAATCTGGCCGTGGGGTGAACAGGATTAGATAGATATGCCTGGTCTGCAAGGCCCTGAGAAGAATTTGATTTTACTTGGTGTAATTGTAAAAACATGGAATCTATTTTTGCAAGTGAGAAGATTGAGTCTACAGTTATAAATTACTTCCCTTGCTGTGTGAGACATAACATTGGAGAGAGGGAATGAAGGTGGGTGGTGCTGAGCAATAATCTAGACTGATGTTGGTGACTTAGACCAGCATGACTTCAATGGAAAGACTTCAGCTGGCATATGTTGGAAGTAGAGCCCATAGGATCTGCTTGTGGGCTTATTGTGAGAGTACATGGAGTAGCCAAGAATAACCTGCAGGCGTTTGTTGAACAGCCCAATGTATGGCTTTGTATTCACTCAACTGGAAACCCTTCGTGTAAAGAATAATTCTTACTGGTGTACTTACTTTGGGAGCATCCAGGCTTCCCTCTGAGTCAGATGTTTTTGAGACATCCAGTTGGACATAAGCCTTGAATTTGAAAGCCTGGATGGTACTGGAAATCCATGCTAACAGTCACTGGCTTCCCATACAGGTGTTGATTTAAATAGTCTTGTAGGGATGGTATGGACAACTTAGGGAGAGACCTCACACATCGGTCTCAGATCAGCCTACCCTGAACACCACTTAGTAAGATTACTTGCTGTTACAGGTTCTTCACCAAAAGATTTTTAGTGACCTCACCATCTTCATACATGACATTCTGTACATTTTATATTACCTCTCTGTAAGGACAATACATAATGAAAGAATGTTCTCAGAAATGTATTAGAAACAAAGAAAGAGAGATAGAGAGCAAAATACAGACAGACCAGGCCCTCAAGTTGGCTCCCAGTGGCTACTCAGCTTCCTGAAGAAAGTAAGACAATATTCACCTGGACAATTCTGACCAAACCTCCTTTCAGGTTTTTAGTGGCCACTGCTTGCAGATTCCTGCCCATTGTATACAAGGGTTGCAGTCCCATAGGGCCAGCATGCATTATAGGCTCAACCCACCTGACTCCCTAGAGAGATGGAGTGGTGAGTGCTCAGTCTTATAGACGGGGTCACTGCCTTGCTGAGCAGGCCTAAGTAGACACACTCCGCCCTCTGTCCCTGCACTGTTGTGTGTAGTTACACCACAGGCTTTCTCTCCATTACATCATGGGAATTCTTTACAGTTTGAAGGGAGAGCACATGAAGACTGTATTTCATCTCACCATGGATAAACAAAGCCTCCAGAACTAACACACTGACCCCAGCAGGGTCAACATGTTTACAGCTTTGGCAGACTTTGGGGGTAAAAAGCATGTTTTTTTTACCTTTTTTGGAGACATTATTTTGAGCAACTCAAGATAAGCATGTTTATGAGTAAAAGGGCATTTTGGCAGGTATTGTACACTGAATTGTGTCCATGCCTCCCATCAAG